TCATCCAACACAGCCGGCGTCGTTATCGGAAGAGGAAGCTCAGAGCCAGGCGGCAGAGGGAGGCCACGTAAAGACCCAGGCGCAGACTCTGTCGACAAGCAGAGAGGCTTCGGCACCTTGACGTCAGGCCCCCGGCCTCCGACTGTGAGTATGAACTTCTGTCACTGAAGCCACCGGGTCTGTGCTGCTTTCTTACAACGGGTCTGAGCAAACAGATCCAACCTGTGGTCCTACTAACCCTGAAGGGTGCCTTCCACTTCACAGACCAGGAACTGAGAGCGGCGGGGAAGCAGCCCGCCCACGACAGCAGCAGGTTACGGTAAAGAGCGGAGCTAAGACCGAGACCAGAGCTGTCTGACTGCCAGGCCGGGACTCAGCAGTAAGTATGTTATACCGGAGTGTTGCTCATTGCCATTTTTAGAAGACACAAGGAGAACTTCAGCACGGCGGCACAAGGACCGCTATCCGAGAACCCCAAATGGAAGCTGAGATGGTATTACAAAGGGAAAATGCTCTCAGAAGTCAGACAGGGAAGACAAGGAGCCTTTGAAAGCCACACGCGAACCCTGAAGTAGGCCTTGCGGGATGAGGGTAACGCATTAGAAGCCGAGCAATAACGGGCAGCCGCAGGGTGGACCTGTGCGCGTCGGGGCCGAGCGCCGCAGCGCGAGATGTGTCATTCCCAGCGGGTTTCTCCGTTGAGCTGGTACTACAACTCACTCGTGGTTTTCCACTGCGAATGGATCTTTGTTGCGAGGGACGTACATGTTTACTGAAATACGCACAGTGTGAGCTAGGGTCCACACAGACCTGCTGGCCCTGCTGTGAAGCCAGAGGTGACTACTGCCACAGAGAGATGTCAGGACTGGACAATGTGCCACCACAGGTCCTCCTTACCGGGCATCTCCAGTTTTTGTGTTGTCTCACCTTCAGGGATGGAAAATAAAAACATCCTGGGGCTGGCAGGTGGCGTGGTGGTTAAGGGTATTGGACTCCCACATGGCCGACCGTGGTTCAATCCTGGACCCGGCGGCTTGCTTTCTCTCTTTCTTTCTTTCTCTCTCCCCCTCTCTGGTCAAATTAAAATAAATAAATAAATAAATAAATAAATAAATAAATAAAATTAAATAAAATAATTAAAAAAAAAATCCTTGGAGACTCCTTAAAATAAGGATTCTTGAGACCAGCAGTTGGTGTGGTGGTTAAGGTGCTGGACTCCCATACAGCTGACTGTGGTTTGAGTCCTGGACCTGGCTTGCATTCTCACTTAACCTGTCTGTCTCTGGTCAAATAAAAAATAGTAATAATAGGGGCCAGCAAGTGGCATGGTAGTTGAGGTGCTGGACACTCTCACATGGCTGACCACAGTTCAAGTCCTGGACCTGGTGGCTTGCTTTCTCACACTCTCTGGTCAAATTAAGTTAAATGAATGAATGAATAAAATTAAATAATTCTTTAAAATAATAAATAATTCTTTAACCTGAATTCCTGGATCCTTAAGGAGTCCAAGGACAGGAGTAAGGGCAGCCCATGAAGTCTGCAGAGGGGTATGCACGTCCTGCTTATGCGACCGTGTCAGTGTTATGCGGAGAGGCTCCATCTTCCAACAGACTCTTCAAAGGAGGGGGGGGGGGGCGGGGGCT